AGAGAGAGAGAGAGAGAGAGAGAGAGAGAGAGAGAGAGAGATTTCCCTGGGATTAACCACACCAATGGGAAGTATTTTGGCAATTCTAGATCCCTTTCTTTAAAATGGCTTAATATTTGGGAAATCTGGGTGAAAGTTATTAAAAATTTTCTAAATTTTCTGCAAGTTTAAAAGGCTCATTTTGTCAGCAGTAGCAGGGAGATACAGCCCCAGCAGTTTGAGGAGTTCCCTTCCTCCTTCAGGACATCCACTCAGATAAAGCTGGATCCTCATCTAAACCATCAAACACTTTCAGGATGAGCCCGAGTGAAGGAAAATCAATGAGTTTATTAAGATAAAGGGAGAGAGTACACTTGAGTGGAGAGGGGCTCTTAGGGATACGCTTAAGGGGGTACTTAGGTGTCTACCATATATATATATCATGGCTCAAAGGACATAATTTACAACAAAGCTGAAAAATGAAGCAAAATTTAAGTTGAAAATTAAAGCTGGGCGTGGTGGCGCACGCCTGTAGTCCCAGCACTGTGGAGGCAGAGGCAGGCGGATCTCTGTGAGTTCAAGACCAGCCTGGTCTCCATAGTGAGTTCCAGAGCAGCTGGGGCTACAGGGAGACCCTGTCTCAAAAAGACCAAAAAAAAAAAAACTTTCCATAAAATCACAGAAGAAAATTTCCCAATCTAGGAAGAGAAGCCCATACAGGGGCATATAGAACACCAGACAGACAGAACCAGAAAAGAAACACTCCATGTTATGTTGTAGTTAAAACTAAATATACAGAAGAAGGGTTTCTATCTGGTTTTTCTGTCAGTGTAATGGTGAATTTGTTAAAAGTGTTTGGAAGCATTCCTTCCCTTTCTGTCTTATATAGTAATTTGAGAAGCATTGGATTTTGTTCTTTAAAGGTCTGATAGAATTCTGCCATGAATCCATGTATATTTAGGCTTTTGTTTCACACACACACACACACACACACACACACACACACACACACACATCTAATGGAAATGTCTACCTTGCCAGCTACAGCATTACTAGCATAGAGAAATTTTCTCCTGTGTGCTCCCCTCCTTTCCTTTGTACTATCAACTTTTTCCATCTTTGTGTCCATCTTTACACACTGTAGACTCAACAATACATTTTCATAATTATTTTGATGCCATTGTCAGCCAAACAGCACAGCTACATGATAGAAAGCAGAAGTTCCCCAAGACAGATGTCTCGTCCCAGCCCCACTGTTAAGTTAGCCACATCCCTCTCTTGGACCGGATGGAGTGTCACAGCTGTAGAAAAGCCACAACCCATCCTCCTGCCAGGATGTTTCTCTGTTGTCCTTGCTCCACTGTGTTCAGCAGCCAAGCAGATGGCTCCAGGGAAGAAGGAACCATGTTTCCCAAGGACACCATAGCTGACTCCTCAGCTGTGTGTGTTCTTTATTTCCCAATCCTACATAACCTATAATTCCCTTCTTCCTTTGCACCTTGCGTTCTCAAGGGAAGGTTGTTGCCACCTTGCTCGATCAACACCACTCAGTCTGCTGAAAGGTCTGGCTCTGGTCATTTATCTAAACTTTATTCTTTCTCTGCTCTTCTAAACCTAACACGCTATATTGCATTTTCACTTACGCAAGTAATAACCCTAATCAGTGTTAATAATGTGTGTGGATTCAAGATACTCTTTGGGATTACTTTTTTTACTCTAAAAATTTTCAGTCTTCCAGCACTTGGGAGGCAGAGGCAGGTGGACCTCTGTGAATTCGAGACCAGCCTGGTCTACATAGTGAGTTCCAGGCCAGTTGGGGCTACAGGGAGACCCTGTCTCAAAAAGACCAAAAAAAATTTTTTTTTGTCTTTATTTGGATTGTCTTATTTCACCTGTATTTTGAGTTTTTTTTTTTTCTGAGTATATAGTTCTTGCTGGCGAGTTTATCTTATTTTTGCATGTGGTGTGTTCACATGTGTGTGGGGTACATATGTATATGTGTTGATGTGTCTGTAGAGTCCAAAGGTTGATATCAGCTATCTCCCTCTGTTGCTCTCCACCGTATATATTAAGGCAAGGTTTCTTACTTGAGTCAGAGCTCACTGACCTGGCTAGTCGAGGTAGTCAGCTTGCTCCATGGATCCCTGGTCTCTGCCTCCTGAGATGGAATTCAGGATGGCCTTTATGCCTGCTTGTTTTTTTTATGTGGGTGCTGGGGACCCAAAGTCTAGTCCTCATGCTTGAAGACTCATCTACTGTCTCGTTTTTTTTTTTTTTTCTCTTCAATACTTTTAATATCACCCCTCTATTTTCTGGTCTGCTGTTTCTGATAGGAAGCCAAAAATTCTCTTCTTTTAAAGTGTGTGTATAGCTGCACATGTGGGTATATAGGCACATGATGGCCTCCCTGTGTTTAATAAGGTCTGGGAAGATTTGGTCATTACTACTGAGTAATAATTTTGGTGCTGTGGATGGAATCACACCCTCACACATGCAAAGCAGGTGCTTTACTACCAAGTAGCACATACTTGATGATGTCTTGTAACTCACTGAAGCTCTGCTCATTTTTTTCCTTCTTCCTTCCTTTTAATTCTCCCATTCCTTGTTATAAGTCTGTTTTCAAGTTCACAAATTCTTTTTCCAGATCACATATGCTGAGTCTTTCATTTCATTTTACTTTTCAACTCTAGCACATTCATCTGGCTTCTTAAGATTTTTTTTTTAATTCTGAATGTTTGATTTTCATGTATGTATTTATACAACATGCATTTCTGGCACCCATGTAAGTCAGAATAGAGCATCAGGGCATCAGATCCCCTGGAACTGGAGTTACAGACAGTTGTGTGCTGGGGACTGAACCTGGGTCCTTTGGAAGGACAGTAAGGTTCTTTTTAAATTTTGGGTCTTTTTGAGACAGAGTTCCAGTTCAGCTGGCCTTGAACTCAGAGATTTACCTGCCTCTGCTTCCAAGTGCTGGGACGAAAGGTGCGCCACCACACCCAGTCTGCAAGAACAGTAAGGTTCTTAAACCATTACTCCAGTTTGCTATCCCAAGAATTTTGACTTCCCAGCTGTCACTCCTCCAATCAGCATAGCTAATTGATTAAGGATAGGATTTCCTTAAGTTCATGAAGCCTAGTAAGATTCCCCCATTTTGTTGAAGGAATGTAGGTTGGGAGTGTGTACAATGTCCATACAGTTTTCCAGGCTGCAAGAGACAAAGAAACCTGATGATTACTATATAAACAAAACTTATTAAAACATTTACTTTACACATGATCACCAACTTGAGTAGGCACCAACATCTGTGTCTGCTCTACTTGGAACCAAATGAGAAGTGCTGAAGGTAAGGGTTAGGAGCATCTGAAGGCTTACACATTCACACACCTGATGCTTGCTGATTACTATTAATTGGGATCTTATAGGGTCAAGTGTTAGTTTCCTACATGGTTACTTGGTATCTTTATAGTGGCTGGACTTCAAGGGTTAAGCATTCTGTGTGAGTCAGGTAGAAGCTATATTACTTTTTGTGGATGTCTTAGAATCATATAGTGAGTGAACAAGAGACATGGCTCAGTGCTAAAGTTCTTATTGTTCAAGTATGAGGACATGAGTTTGAATCCACAGAACTCATGCAAAGCCAAGGTATGGGAGTGCATGTCTGTAATTTCAGTGCTATGGTGAGTCAGGAGGCTGACACAGAATTTCCAGGGGACTAGCTAGTCCCACATATGCACTGGCAAAACAAAAGGCTCTGTTTCTGTTTCAACCAAAGTGAAAGGGGAGTACCAACACCTGAGGCTGTCTTTTGACAGTCATAAGCATATGCCTGCATACACACACAAGCATGAACATATATATACACACATACATACAAAAAGAAATCAGTGTCACCCTTGCCACAAACACAGGCTTGCCCACCCAGACTCAAAAGGAAAGACCATACATGGACTCTGCTTTTCGATAGGAAGGAACAATATTACATTGTAAGAAAAAATAAATATGGACTGAATATTACAAATTATGGAATTATTAATCCCAGATATGAATTTATATAATTAAGTAGAGAATATAGCTTTTATTGTTAGGAGTGGTGAAGTGTCATGAGATCTACAGTTTCTACTTAAGTATGGGAAAAAACAAGTACTACATAGACGCAAACTAAATATAAAAATGTTAGCAATTGCTGAACCTAGAGACATACTAGGGCTCAAGGTATTAGTTTTTTAAGTAGTAAGGAGTCTTTTAATAATTTATAGTTTATTAAGAAGTGTAAGCATACCTACTTTTCTTTGTTATAAGAAGAAAAACCATTATAGCTTTCCCTGACTCTTCAAAAGATTTATTCTTATAATCTTCATACATGAAATCTAGTTTGTTTTTTGTTTCTTTTTTGTCTTTTGAGACAGGGTCTTCCTGTAGCCCCAGTTAGACTGGAACTCTGATGTAGACCAGGCTGGCCTCCAACTCACAAAGATCCACCTGCCTCTTCCTCCCAAGTGCTGGGATTAAAGGTGTGCACCACCATGCTCAGCTGGCTTCTTTAAAAAAAATAATTTATGGGCTACAGATGACTCATTGGTTAAGAACACTGGCTGTTCTTGCAGAGGACCTGGGTTCAATTCCCAGCACCCACATGGTGGCTAACGACTGTCTGTAGCTCCAGTTCCAGGGGATACAGCACCCTCTTTTGGCCTCCACAAGCATTGCACAACATGGGTGCACTTAAATGCATGCAGGCAATACACTCATACACATAAAAGTTTTTTATTTTTTGAGTGTTTTGCTTGCATATAAGTGTATCCATGTAGTGCAATGCTAATGGAGGCCAGAAGAGGGTGTTGGATCCCCTGGAACTGGAGTTAAGGATGGTTGTTAGTGGCCATGTGGATGCTAGGAATTGAACCTGGGTCCTCTGGAAGATCAGTGCTCTTACTGCTGAGTCATCTCTCCAGTTCCCAGGCCTAAAGATTTCTTTCTCACATTCATTTTCAGAGATGAGTTCAGAGATTATGTGTCGCTTAGTTTTGTCAACCTGATGCAACTTAGAATTACTGGGAAGGTTTCAGTTGAGGAATTCCCTAGATCAGGTTGGCATATGGGCATGTCTGTGGGGGATTGTCTTGATTGCTAACTGATGTAGGAAGACTCAGCCCATCGTGGGAAGCACCATCCAAGCAGGGGCTCCTGAATTATCTAGGACAGGAGTAAGATGAGAGAAAGCAAGCAGCATCTATGTGTTAACTTCTCTTTGCTCTGGACTGTGGATGTGATGTGACTGGCTGCTTAGGGTCCTGCCTTGACTTCCCTCAGTAATAGACTAAACCCTTTTCTCCTCTAAGTTGTTATTGGTCAGGATGTTTTATCACAGCAACAGGGAAAGGTTAAAACAGATTAGATACAAAATTTTATTTTTAATTTTTACTTGATTTATCCATAAACATGCAAATTTAAGTAAGGAATGAAAGGTAATGGTTGGTATTCTCACATGAGTTTACTAATAGTATCACTAATGATAAAAAAAATAGTAATATCAGGCCAGGTACTGTATGCCAAATGCTCTTCTAAAGGTCTGTCTTAACTTTTTGTCCTCACCAAAAAACACTGTCAGGTAGTACTATTAGTGCCATTTTATAACCAGGCACGGAGGGGAGAAGTGTTTTGACAAATATGAGACAGAGTAGGAATGCACTGTGACTATTTTTCCCATACTTATTTTTTAAAATAACTTTTGTTTAATGTATGAGTGCACTGCATGCATGTGTGTAAGTGCACATGTGTCGTTCAATGCCTGAAGAGGCCAGAAAAGGGCGCTGGAATCCCAAGGAGCTGAAGTTGAAGATAGTTGTTAGCCACCATGTGGATGCTGGGAATTGAACCTGGATTCTCTGAAGAGCAGTCAGTGACCTTAACAACCGAGCCGTCTCTCCAGCCCCCATCCCCCACTTAGGAACTGAATAATTTTCTTTTACAGTCCTATACAGTGTGGGTCATGTACTGATATTGGGGCCAATAAATTGTTTGCTTTTCACCTGCAATGAGTTAAAGCATGGACATTGAAAACAAAAATTTAGAAACTTTTATAGCAATTCAACAGAACTAATTTCTAATTATTGAAGTAGAAAAGGTTCTTTTATATTGCATGGTTGTTTTTTTGTAATATGGAATACATCACAAATTTGTGTGTCATCCTTGCGCATGGGCCATGCTAATCTTCCCTGTATCATTCCAATTTTAGTATATGTGCTGCCAATGTGGGCACGCATGTGTATTTTCTTACCACTTTTTCTGGTAATAAGTTATTCCATTTTACAGAAGTATTTCTAAACAATAATTTGTGGAGGAATAGGTCCTTGGAGGCTTGAGATGTGTTACACTAGTATCAGTCTGCTAAAGTTTAACCATGATGGAGTGATACTGTAACTTTTATACTCTTTAATAAATGAAACCACTTGTGTAAATTTGTGTGAATAAAATGTCATAGCTACACGGTAACATGTAAAAAAATTCTTAATATTATGGATTATCTGTTGTTGTAAAAGGAATTTTCTAAAGACTAATGCATCATTGTTACATTATGCATAGTATTTCCTCACTAATATGATTTCTCTGGTGTAAAGCTGATCACTATGAATAAAGGCCTTCCCACACTCTTTACACTTACAAGGTTTCTTACCACTATGAATTCTCTGATGCTGAGTAAGTTCTAAATTAATACTAAAGGCCTCCCCACATTCTTTACATTTATAGGGTTTCTCACCAGTATGAATGGTGTAATGTCAAGTTCTGCATGGAGACAAAAGGTATTCCCGCATTCTTTACACCCATAAGGTTTCTCACCAGTACGAAGTCTAAAATGTTGAGTAAGATGATATCTACAACTAAAAGACCACATTCGTTACGCATGTAGGGTTTCTCACCAGTATGGGTTCTAAGATGATAGTGATGACCAAAAGTCTTACCACAATCCTTACATTCATAGGGCTTCTCACCTGTATGAATTCTGTGATGTTGAGTAAGATGGCTGCTGCGAATGAAGGCTTTCCCACATTCCTTACACTTGTAAGGTTTTTCACCAGTATGAATTCTATGATGTTGAAAAAGTTCTGTTTGAAAGCAAAAGGTCTTCCCACATTCTTTACATTCATAGGGTTTTTCATCAGTATGGATTTTATAATGTTGAGTAAGATTATAATGACGACTAAAAATCTTGCCACATTTGTCACATTCATAGCTTTTCTCATTATTGTGAATTCGCTGGTGTGAAATAAGTTGATTGCTATGAATAAAAGCCTTTCCACATTCCTTACATTTATAGGGTTTCTCACAAGTATGAATTCTGAGATGACGGGTAAGTTCTGCTTGAAGACGAAAGGCTTTCCCACACTCATTACATACATAGGGTTTCTCTCCAGTATGAATTCTGTAGTGTTGCGTAAGATGATAGCGATTATTGAAAGTTTTTCCACATTCCTTACATTCATGGGGAACTTCGCCAGTATGAGTTCTCAGGTGTAAAGTAAGTTGATAGCCACAAATAAAAGCCTTCCCACATTCTTTACATTTATAAGGCTTCTCACCAGTATGAGTTCTATGATGCCTAGTAAGTTCTGTTTGAAGACGAAAGGCTTTTCCACATTCTTTACATTCATACGGTTTCTCACCAGTATGAATTCTATGATGTCGAGTGCGTTCTGCATGAAAACTAAATGACTTACCACATTCTTTACATTTATAGGGTTTCTCACCAGTATGAATTTTATGATGTTGAACAAGGTATGAACTATGACTAAAGGCCTTGCCACATTCAGTACATTTATATGGTTTTATGCCTGTATGAATTTTTTGGTGTTGACTAATATGTCGTTGCACCCTAAAGGTCTTTCCACAAATCTTACATTCATAAGGTCTCTCACCAGTATGAATTCTTCGATGTTCAGTAAGTTGGTAAGTAAGTCTAAAGGTCTTCCCACATTCTTTACATTCGTAGGGTCTTTCCCCAGCATGGATCGTTTGGTGCACTCTAAGGTCTCTAAAACGACTAAAGACCTTCCCACATTCCTTACACTCATAGGGTTTCACACCAGAATGTATTTTCTGATGTTCAGTAAGGTGATAGTGAAGTCTAAAGGCTTTCCCACAGTCTTTACATTCATAGGGCCGCTGTCCAGCATGGATTGTCTGATGTACTCTAAGGTCTCCCACTCGACAAAAGGCCTTTCCACATTCCGTACATTTATAAGGTCTCTCACCAGTATGAATTCTCAGATGTTGAATAAGGTATGACTGTTGTTTAAAAGCCCTTTGACATTCTTTACATTTATATAATTTTTCTTTAATATGAATTTCCTGATGTAGAGGAAGAGATACTTGGTCTTGGATTATCATTTGATTAAAGGATTCCATCTGATGTCCCTCTTGTCTCTCAAATTCATGTTCATTCTGCAAACCATTTCTGAAAATGTCCTCACTGGTAGATGCTTTTCTTTTTTCTACTGGCTGCAAATAAGATAAATACATTTCACCAACATCCTTTTCTGGAAATAATGTCTTGGTAACATGCTTATATTCCAAATCTGTAAAAGAAAGACAGAAAAAATACTGTATTTTCTGTGTTGATAGTGGGATGACAGGTTGCTTTTTCTTATGGTAGAAGTAAAATTTCAATAAAAATAACATAGTTTGTAAGTAAATGGTTTGGAGCAGAAATCAGCAACTTTTCTATAGGGACAGGTAGTAAAGATTTTAGGCTTTATGTGGCACATGGACTTTGTCACAATTACTCAGCTCTACTATAATAGTACAGAGGCAGCCATATACAATGTAACTGGTTGAGTGTGCCTGTGACATAACATTTCACTTACAGGCACTGCAATTTGAATTTCAAAGATCTATATGGCTGGTAGGTATGGTGATCCACGCCTGCACTCTCAGTACTCAAAGGCTGTGGTGGGTAGACTGCCATTAGTTGAAGTCCAACTTGAGCTACATAGTCAGATCTTAGCTTGCATGGGCTACAGAGCAAGATCTTGTCTTGAGGTGTGCTATTGTGGGAGAACTCTGAAAATCAACAGGAGGAAAATGGAAACCTGTAAAATCTAAGACCTAAGACAACCACATGGTAAGAAAAACAAAGTATCAAGACACACACTGTCCTGACTTCATGCTAGCGAAGGCAGAGTCTCCTCTCCATATGGGATTAAGGTAAGAGGCCTAGCAAGCTTGTTTAGTGAACACATTGACAATCTTAGTGATTGCAATTTTCACCATCCTAACAGGTTTTCTGTCTAAATAGAGTTTTAAAACCCTGAAGTCTGCATAGTTTCCTAGCTTTGGAATTCACATCCTCTTCTAGTGAATCTCAGGGTGCTATATCCAGGAGCCATTTTGAGAAAGGACCAATTGCTTGTATTTGGACTTCTCTGGGGTTAGGACAAACCCCATCTCTGTAACCTATAGACATCCCACTGCACTGGCTTAGTGGGTAGTCACCTCATGAACCAGACTCAGAAGACTGACTCTGACAGAAACCAGCTAAAAGTGCTGTACTGGGAGTGCTTGCGGGGAGGAGGTACTGCAAGATTGACAAGATGAAGGCCACCTTCTTTAAGAATGAGGGGATTAGGGAGTCTGCTCTCCAAACTAGGAGTAGAAATCCTAGGGGTTAATAAATGGAAGCAGTTCACCATGCATTTCCACCAACCCTTTCCCCAGCACAGTATATGGGCACCTGTCACTAAAAGGCAGGAAAAGAACTCTAGTTTCACTGTTCGTGTTCCAAAAGGGCCGCTGAGGCAGTTGTGAACAATGCCCCAGCACTGGCTGTCATCCCATTCCTAGTCACACACAACCCCAAAAAGTCCAGAGAGAAACTCTGCTACCTGTGCTCTGCTTCATCTTGCTCTCATCTCAGCTGAGAAGAATTTTACCTAGTTCCATCTGTGACCCACTCCTACTTAGTCCTTGATGCACTCAGAGCACTACAGCTAAAAGAATTGGGAGAACAGCTCCCAGTCACTGCCCATCCCCAGGCATGCATGAGTGGGTATGTGGGAGGTCTGAGTCCTGCTCCTGGGAAGGCCTGCTCTGAGTAGCATCAGAGAAGAACACTACAACTCTTGCTGCCATTGCACCATACACAGGTCTCATCATCCTTCACCTTGTCTAATTACACACTGCTGGTAAGACCAGGTATGAGTGCCATAGATTGGGTATTGTGGATCTTGTTCTGCCTCTCCCCATGAAGGCCTGGATCCACAGCAGTGTCTGGTCAAAGGACATGTGCTTCAGGCTTATCATTACTACTAGTGCAGCTACTGCCAGAGACCCTTCAAGTCACAGAATCAAAGTCAACAGTGCCAAGGAAACCTCTGTCATCTGATAAGAGCAACAACTCCCATTGAAGATAGAGCCACATAGGTTACACCACACATTCTCTGAAGTCTATACTGCACCTGCCTAAACTGCTAGAGTAACTCCACTCTTGCATGCAGAGATAGTAGATATCTCTGATTCTGATATGGTACACTATGTTTAAATTCACTAATCATAGCTAGGGAAGCTAGAGAGATTACACCATGATGCCCAGCTGAAATAAAACTCAACATTTTCATAACCAAAGAACACCCCAAGATACATCTTCAGGAGAATGCCACTTACTAAGGAGTCTATCTCATTTTCTTTTTCTGTTGTTATAAAATGCCCTGATAAAAGCAACTTAAGAGAAATTTCTGCTCACAGTTCAAGGGTACAATTCATCATGACAGGAAAGTCAAGACAGAGGAGCTACAAGCAGCTAGTCATTTGGCACCCACAGTCAGCTCCCTTTCTCCACTTACACAGTCCAGGATCCCAGAGAGGGAATGCTGCTACCCCAGGGTCTTCCCATCTCAATGAATGAAATCAAGGTAATCCCTCATAGGCATGCCAAGAGGCCCATCTCCCAGGTGATTCTAGGAGAATTCTGTCACAAAAGCCATTTCATAAAAGTGACATAGATATCGATCAGCTGGATGTACCAATCTCAATATAAGAAATCTGAAAAGTGGGGCTGGAGAGATGGCTCAGCAGTTAAGAACACTGGCTGTTCTTGCAGAAGGCCCAGGTTTGAATCCTAGCAACCACATGGCAGCTAACAACTGTTCGTAACTCCAGTTCCAGGGGATCTAACAACCTTTTCTGTCCTCCATGGGCACTGCAGGACATGGGTGCACTTACCTTCATGCAGGCAATACCTGTATACACATAAACTAAAAATAATAAAATATTAAAAAAAAAGAAATCTGGAAAGTGAGGGTAATATGACATCCCTAAAGACCATGATGCCATGATGCTTTAGGATCAGATTCTGAAGATTTTTTTTTCTTTTCTTTCTCTTTTTTAAAATTTTATTTACTTTTATTTTATGTGTATATGTGCATTGCCTGCATGTAGGTAAGTGCACCTGTGTCGTGCAATGACCATGGAGGTCAGAAGAGGCTGTCAGATCCCTTGGGACTGGAGTTATGGAAAGTTGTTAGCTGCCATGTGGGTGCTGGGACTCAAACCCGGATCTTCTCCAAGAACAACCAGTGTTCTTAATCACTGAGCCATCTCTCCAGCCCCCTAAAAGGATTATTTTTAAAAAGTTCGATGAGACCCAAGAGAGTATAGACAGCTATATTAAGTCAGGAAGGCAATGCAGGAGATGAATGAGAGATTCAACGAAGAGGAGATCTGGGAAATCAGAACTCTCAGGCTGGGGAGACAGCCCAGTTGTTAAAAGTATGAAGATGTGAGATGCTATGTCCAGAACTGACATTAAAGAAAGCTAGGTGTGGTGGTGGACACCTGTAATCCCAGTGATGACATGACTGCAGGTGGATACAGGAGATCCCTGGAGCTTGCAGGCCAGTTAGTGCAATCTACCTGGTGAAGTTTCAGGTCAGTGAGAAATCCTGTCTCAAACAAAAAGTGGAAGGCACCTGACAAATGATACCCAGGGTTGTCCTCTGTCTTCCACATGTATGTGTATACATATGCATGTGTGTTCTTGCACATACATATGTACCTACCCCCACCCCAATAAATCTTGGAAATGAAGACCCTGATAAGCCATGCAAACAATTTAGCTGAAACCCACAGAAAATAGAGTAGATGAAGGAGAAGAAAGAATACTGGAGTTAAGGACAAGTCTTTAAAAATAATCACATTAAGAGAAAAGTGAAGAGATGACTTAGGAAGAATATATGGAAGAAGAAAGCATTCAAGGTCTTTCAGGTGCCATTACAAGATCAAATATCCACATCATCAGCAGATCTGAAGGGAGGAAATAGAGCTTACAAGCATAGAATACTTACTCGATGAAATCATAGGAGAAAATATCCCTAACCTTGGAAGACATGAACATCAGGTTTCTAGAACCCTAAATAGATATGACCAGAACATACCCGAGACCTACCAGAGTCAAACTGTCAAAAGCACAGGACAAGGGTTTCGAATGTATCTTAGTCATTACAGTATTAGCCTAGCATGCATGAAACCCTGAGTTTGAGCTCTAGCACTGCATAAACCAGGCATGGTGGAGCATGTGGGAGGATTAAAAGTTCAAGGTAAATTGGGCTACATGAGACCCTGTCTAAAAAAACCCTCAAACAAAAACATACGGGGCAAAGAATGTGAAAATCTAAAGAGGAGTTGGGGAGATAGCTCGATTGGTAAAGTGCTTGTTATGCAAGCACAAGGACCCTAGTTTGATCTTCAGCATGCACAGAAAAAGCCAGACATGGTGGTGCACACTCATAATCCCAGAGCTGGCAGAGACAGGAGGATCTGGAGGGCTCACTGGCTGGCCAGCCTAGTTAAATCAGCAAGTCTCAGGTCTGAGTGAGAGATCTTGTCTAAACAAAAACAAGGTGAATGGCTCCTGAGGAATGACCCCTGAGATGGACATCTAGACTCTACACACACATGCACACATACCTGTACCCCTTCTATACATGTGCACCCATACACATGCAAACATACATCAGATCTGCACACACACAAATAATTTTTTAAAAACATTCTTATTTATTTTTATGTGTATGATTGTTTTGCCTGTATGTACGTGCAGTACATGCATGCCTGGTTCCCACGGAGGTTAGAAGAGGGCATGGGATGCCCTGGAACTAGAGTTATGGACAGTTGTTAGCCTCCAGGCAGGTGCTGGGAATCGAACCCAAGTCCTCTGCAAGAGTAGAAGGTGCTCTTAACCACTGAGCCATCTCTCCAGTCCCCAAAATAAAAAAACTTAAAAATCTAAAAGATGCAGAAGTGGTGGTGCACACCTTTAAACCCAGCACTCAGGAGGCAGAGGCAGGAGGACCTCTTTGAGTTCAAGACCAGTCTGGTTTACACAGCGAGTTCACCCAGGGCTACATAGTGAGACCCTTTCTCAAAAAAAAAACAAAAAAAAACACAGAAACAAAAAACAAAACAAAACAAAAAAAAACCTCAGAAAAGCAACACGCCACATTTAAAGGAAATGCCTCAAACAGCAGGTTTTTCCGCAGGGTCTTCAGGCCAGGAGGAAAACACCTGCCAATTAAGATTACTATGCCCAGAAAGGCTATCCTTCGGAACTGGAGGAGAAATAAGTACCTTCCAAGATAAACAAACAAAAAACAGCCACAACAACAAAACCTTCGGGAATTCATGACCACCAGATAAGCCTTGTAAGGGATGCTCACAGCAGTCCTTCACCTACAAGTAGAACAATAAAACTGAATTCAAATGGTCTTACTTCTTGAGTTAAAAGATAAAGATTGGCTAACTGGATTAAAAAAGGAAGTCTTGGGGCTGGAGAGATGGCTCAGTGGTTAAGAGCACTGACTGCTCTTGCAGAGGACCCAGGTTCGATTCCTAGCACCCACATGGCAGCTATGAACCATCCTTAACTCCAGTTCCAGGGGAATCTGAAGCCCTCTTCTGATGTCCGCAGTATTGCATGACACGGGTGCACTGACATACATGTAGGCAATACACTCATACACATAAAATAAATAAAATAAAAAGTTAAAAAAAGTAAAAATAATAAAAAAGAAAGTCTCAACAGTATTCTGCCTGTAGGAAACTAATTTCATTAATAAAGGCATACAGAGACTAGTGGGGAATAAAGATGACATGAATCAGAATCTTGTATTGCAGTTTATTCTGCTTCGAATATACTTCATCAAAAGTTACATGGCCTAAAGACCTCAGAGCTCATCATCCCCGGGGCAGGGAATGTAGCTCACTGTAGAATACTTGGTTAGCATGTGTGAAGCAATACATTTGATCCACAGCCACAGCCACACAGCCCCAATATCGTTTCTTCTTATCCTGCTGAATTTTCTTTATAACACACATCTAGACTTGTCTAGGGCATTCAATGTCATCTACAAAGTTCACACTTGAGCACCATGTAACTGAATTACAGAAAAAAATTATAATGGTTTAAGTAAGTGTATGATTTTATATCGGGCCACATTTATAGCTGTTCTTGGCCATACGTAGCTCACAGGCTGCAGGTTAGACACACCTGGTTCCCATTATTTGACCCCAACCTCTCCGTGACAGCAGGACATACATTGGTAGTGCACAGGCTCTTGTATGGTGCCTTGTTTAGGTAAGTAAAAGAGGAAACATTTGTTGGATAAAACAATTTCAGCAATAGAGAAATGAAGATAAAACACATGTAAAAGAGGACCTGGAAATAGTTAAGGTAGCTTCAAAGAGGAAGAAGGAAGCAAACCAGCCTTGAATGGTGTGCTGGATAGCTTTAGTGTCAACTTGACACACCTGGGTTGAGGGAGCCTCAATTGGGGAATTGCCTCTATTGGACTGGCCTGTGGCCATGTCTGAGGGGCATCTTCTTGATGAGTGATGTGGGAGGGCCCAGCCCACTGTGGGTGGTGCCACCCCTGGGCAGGTGGGCCTGTGTTGCATAAGAAAGCAGGCTGAGCAGGGGCCAAGGGAGCAAGCCTGTAAGCAGCGTTCCTCCATGGCCTGTGCTCCAGCTCCTGCCTCCAGGTTCCTGCCCTGAGTTCCTACCTTGGGCTCCCTGATGAACTGCAACCTGGGAGTTGTAAGACAACTCCCCAAGTTGGTACTGGTCAGAGTGTTTTGTCACAGCAATAGAGAACAAACTAAGACAAATGGGAAGGACAAATCAAAGAAATAAGGAGAGGTGTGCTCTTTCAGTAGTGCATGTTGAGAGGATCCTAATGTCTACCATGCCCTTTCTCCACAGACCTTGGAAGGAGCTTTCAGAACACCTCAGGGCTGTGGGTCCTCCCTGACCCAGTGGGTCATCACTAGAACTGGCATGCTGGGTTTGCTTTACTAACCTGTGTACCACTTCTTTCTGTCTTCTCTCATTTCAATCCAGGGCTCCTTTTCTTGTTCCAATAAAATAATCACATCTGGCTTAGGAATGGTGCATCCTGCTCAGAAGAGAAATGACAGTTGTCACAGGAAATAGACAAGACAACTATAACCTCAAGACAACTTAATTTAGACTTGGTTACACTCGTAATAAGCCGTAGGCCGAAACAGTACTTACTCAAAGAAGGAACTAGTTTTCACGTTTAAAATAAGACTTGGAAAAGGTCTGCTCTATCTTTTTCAAAATTTTAAAATAAGATTTACACATGTACCTATGTTTAAGTTTCCACTAAAAATCTACACAATGATTTTTTTTTTGAGACAGAGTTTTGTTAAGTACTCCAGGCTGACCTTAAACTTACAGCAGTCCAAGCCTCTAAGTGCTGGGATAACAGATATGCACCACTATGTCTGGTTCTCAATAATTAAGATATTTTAACACTGTATTGCTTTAAATGCCACATTATTCCAATTCCCAATTTGTTGCATAAAACAACGGGTTTCGCTGGGACATTTTCAGGAATCTGTACCATATGCTGTGATCTTACTCCCCACTGCCCTTCCCCATCCCTCTTCCTGCCTGCTCCCTCCCTGTTACCACATATTCCACTCTGCTAAAGTTCTTTTTCTTTTGTAAATTCCAGATTTTGCATGAGAGAGAACATGGAACATTCTTTCCGGCTTCCAGTTACATCCATTCCTCCACAAATTACACAATTTCATTCTTTACAGCTGAAAAAACTCCATTGAGTACACACACCATATTTTCTTTATCTGTTTATCTGTTGATGGGCATTTAAGCGGATTCCATTACTTGGCTATTTTGAACAGCTGCAACAAATGTATATCTTTTTATGTTGACTTAGATTCATTTGGGTGTGTACTTAGGAGAGTTATGGCTTGGTCATATAAATGGTTTTTAGTTTTTAGTTTTTGATGACTCTTCATATTATTTCCACAGTGGATGCACTAATTTACATCTTCCCATTAGTGCATAAGGATTCCTTCTCCCCAACATCCTTGCCAGTATTTGCTGTTTGGTTTCTTGATGATCATCATTCTGACTAGAGAGAGAATCTCAATGTAATTTTGCTTTGCATTTCCCTGATGACTAAGGAAACGGAACATTTTTCATATATTTACACAGTTTATACTTCTTTGGAAAACTGATCAAATCATTTGCTCATTTATTGATTGGATCATTTGGGTTTTTCTTGTTTCTCACAGTTTCATTCTAGATATTAACCCTGTTAAGGTACATGGCGGGCAAACCTTTTCTTCCATTCTGCAGGTGTCTCTTCAGTCTGGCAGCTGTTTCTTCTGATGAGCTGTTAAATTTTATGCAATTTCAGTTGCTAATTCTTGCTGATACTCCTGAGCTACTGGAGTATTTTTCAAAGTCCCTACCTATGCCTGTTTCTACTTTCTTCACATTTTCTTCTAGTAGTTTCAAAGTTCCAAGTATTAGATTATCGTCTCTGATCCGTTTTAAATTGAATTTTGTTCAGAGTGAGAGGGGTAGAGTTTCTTCAGTCTTCTACATGGAGATACCCAGTTTTTCCAGCACATTTGTTGATGAGGCTGACTTTTCTATAATGTATGTTTTTGGGGGCACTTTTGTAAAAGTCAGATGGTTGTAGCGACATGGGTTTATTTCTGGGTCCTTCATTCTATTCCATTGATCCTGTGCCACTATTACACTGTTTTTGTTACTATGGAGCTATAGAATTTAAAATCAGGTATTATAATACTCCCGGCATTGACCTTTTTGCTTAGGATTGCCTTGGCTATTCTAGGTCTTTTGTGCTTCCATATTAATTTCACAGTATCTTTGTACTTCTATAAAGAATGCCATTAGAATCTTAATGGGGATTGCACTGAATTTACAGATTACTTTCAGTATAGTCATTTTCAAAATATGAATTCTGCTGATCTATGAAGAAATTAATCTTTCTATTTTACTGACTGACCCATCTCCCAGCCTCTGCTGTGATATTATTTCTTTCTATCTACTGATTTTGGGTTTGATTTGTTCTTGTTTATCCAAGGTCACAAGGTATACTGTTGCTTACCTGGGATCTGTGATATTCTAACATAGGCACTGGCTGGCTATAAACTGCCCTCTTAGGACTGCTTTCATTGTATTTCATAGGTTTTGTTATACTGTGTTTCCACCTTTATTCTATTCTGGGATTTTTTTCATTTCCTTCTTGATTTCTTTGCTAATCCATTCATTATAGAATCGTACGTTGTTTAATCTCTATGAGTCTGTGTATGTTCTGTAGCTGTTCTTGCTGTGGAGTTTTAGTTTAATTCTATGTGGTCAAGTAGAATATGGGAAATTATTTCAATTTCTTACATTTGTTGAGACTTGCTTTGTGTACTATGTATGATCTATGCCAGAGAAAGCTCCATGGGCCACTGAGAGGAATGTACACTCCGTAGTGCTTGAAGAGAATGTGAGATGTCTGTTAGGGCCATTTAATCCATGATGTCATTTAATTTAGATGCTCCTCTGTTACTTTTTGTCAGGATGACCTGTCTACTTGTGAGAGTTGGATACTAAAGTCACCCATTACTACTGTATTGGGGGTTAATCCGTGTCTTTATATTTACTAATATTTGTTTTATGGAATTCGGTACACCTACATTTAGTGTGTACATGTTTAAGACTGCAATGTCTTCTTGGTTGGTTTTCCCTTTTGTAGTGATTTGAATGAGCACTGTCTCCTGTAGGCTCAGGTATCTGAACACTTTATCCCTAGTTAGTGGCCCTGTTTGGAGGTTATGGAACCTTTAGGAGGTGGCTCCTTTCTGGAGGTGGAACGCTGCTTTTCCCTACTTTCCATTCTCTCTCTCTACTGTTGAAGATATGATCTCAGCTTTCTGCTGTGGCTGCCTGCTGCCATGCCTCCCCACCACAATGGACTCTCCCTCTGGAACATAAGCCCAAATAAACTCTTGCTTCAATGAGTCCCTTCTGGTCATGGTGTTTTATCACAGCGACAAAAAGTAACTAATATATTTTCTCTCAATCAGTATGAAGTAATCTTATTTATCTCTTCTGATTAGTCTTGAAATCTATTTTGTCAAATATTAGAACAGCAAAATTTACTTATTTTAGTTTCAGAACTTGAAATACCTTTTCCATCCTTACTCTAAGGTTCTATATCTTTGATGGTGAGATGCATTTCTTAGAGGTAACAAATAGACCAATCCTGTTTTTAAAAATCAATCTGCTAAGCTGGGCATGGTTGTGCACACCTTTAATCCCAGCACTCAGGAGGCAGAGGCAGGAGGATCTCTGTTAGTTTGAAGCCACCCTGGTCTACATAGTGAGTTCCAGGCCAGCTGGGGCTACAGGGAGAATCTGTCTCAAAAAGACAAACAAACAAACCAATCTGCAGTCTGTGTTTACTGACTGGGGAATGGAGGCTGTTAGCATTCAGATTTACTGCTGGAAGATGTGTCCTAATTCCTGCTGCTCTGTTGACTTTGTGGTGTTTGGTGCTTTTCTAGTCCTCCTGGGCTTGACTGCATTCTGACGTGGTTTACTCTTTCCTGTAGCCTCATGAATATGTTTATCTTTTTCTTCAGTCTGAAAGTTTCCTTCAAGCATCTTCTGTAGGTCAGGTTTAGTGATCGTAAGTTAATTCACTCTGATTTTATCTAGGAAAGATTGTCTTTCTCTTTCAATTACGACAGAGGGTAGTAGTCTGAGTTGAGAGTTGTCTTTCACAGAGTGAAAGACATCATTCCAAGCTCTTCTGGCTTTTAAATTTTCTGTTAAGAAATCTGTTGTTATTCTAATTCTCCTACCTTTATATATGACTTGGTGATTCTCTCTTGCAGTTTTCAATATGTTTTCTTTGTTCTTTATATTTAGTCTATTTATACACTGTATTATACTTATGGATTTGCATATACTGAACCATCCTTGAATTCCTGGAATGAAACCAAATTGATCATCATATATGATTTTCTTTGAGACTGTATGATTTTTTTTAAATGTGTTGTTGAATTCAGTCTGCAAGTATTTTTCTGAGAACTTTTAGGAGTATGTTCATCATGGAAATTGGTCTATAGTTTTCTTTTTTGTGTATCTGTCCTTATCTACTTTGGGTTATTAACATTGGCTTTATAGAATGAGTTTGGTAGTATTCTTTTCCTTTCTAGTTTATGGAATAATTTGAAGAGCACTGCTCTTCTCCCTTAGAGGGCTGGTAAAATTCAGCAGTGACTCCATCTGGTCCTGTGCTTTTCTTACCGGGGAGACTACTGTTTCCAGTCCTGTACTTTTTTTTTTGTCTTTTTGAGACAGGGTCTCCCTGTAGCCCCAGGTGGCCTGAACTCTCTATGTAGACCAGGCTGGCCTTGAACTCACAGAGGTCCACCTGCCTCTGTTTCCCAAGTGCTGGGATTAAAGGCGTGTAACAGCATGCCCAGCTCCAGTCCTGTACTTTTATTAAATACAAAATGAATGAGTATTGCTACTTCATGGGGCTGTTGTGAAAAAGGATGGTTTGAGGATACACAGTATTTTATTTTTGTTACCATTTTGCTAAGATAAATATACTGTTTCCTAAAGTTCTCCACATATTCCTTCAATAGAAAATGAAAGTTCATAGACTACAGCTTTAAATCACAAAGCAACTGAAAGACAGTATGTCTCTTCTAGAATAGTATGTGTTTTTAATTCAATCTACCACTATTTAATCTACAATATATAAACCAGAACTCTGATTCTAGCCATCTTCTTGGGACAGACATTAACATGGAGCCACTAAGGAATCTGGAGTATGAAATCTGGTTTCTCTGAAAATGTGACACAACTCAGGAATGATCAAGGCAGGTGTTCTACCACTGAGCTCAGAACGATTTAGTAAACAAGCAACACAGGAAGGGTCATAGGGAGGCCAGTGAATGTTACTGATGGATGAGAAAGATAAAGGTATATAACACAGCTACCATTTCCACCCCAACAATGCTAAAACTTTAGAAAGAGGGGCAAAAATTCAGCTACATTCTTAAAACAACAATCTGAAATTTAACAGTGGAGAAAGCTTCCATTCCAGAAAGGTTATTTGAGTATGTATCTTACCCAGTGAGACAAAGTTGCTGTAGTTCTCCAACATCACATCCCTGTACAAATCCCTCTGAATTGGGCCTAGACACTCCCACTCTTCTTGAGAAAAGTCTATGGCCACATCCCTGAATGACAGGGACACCTGAAATGACAAATCCCTGTTTTACAAATAAAATTTAAATGCATTTTCATGATGAAAGTACCTCTGTAAGAAAGAAGTAACACAGCGAGCAAGAAAATGGGTTCAAGCCTATAACATGTATAGAAAAATACGAACACTGGTATTCCTGAAGTACAGTACTTACATGGTTTTATTACATCCATCCACCCATCCTTCCATCCTTCCATCCATCATCCATCCATCCATCCATCATGTGTATGTATGTGTGTACATACCACAGCACATCTGTGGAAATCAGAGGACAACTTATGGAAGTTGATTCTTTCCTTCGGGCATGTGGTTCCCAGGGATCAAACACAGGCTTAACGGAACACCTTTACCTGCTGAGACATCCTGCTGGCCCCTTATATAGTTTTTTGTTTTTGTATTGTTTTGTTTTTTGAGCCAGGGTCTTCCTGTAGGCCTAGCTGGCCTGGAACTCACTATGTAGACCAGGTTGGCCTTGACTCAGAGATTTGCCTGCCTCTGTCTCTTGGGGGCTGGGATTAAAGGCATGCACCACCATGACTGGCTTCCTTATATATATATATTTTTTTTTGTCTTTTTGAGACAGGGTTTCCCTGTAGCTTCTGTTGACCTGGAACTCACTACGTAGACCAGACTGGCCCCGAATTCACAGAGATCCGCCTGCCCCTGCATCCTGAGTGCTGGGATTAAAGGCATGCAACTGATATAAACAAAATGATATACGCCATGAGATAATGTAATTATCCATGGTCAGGGGATGGGAAGAAAACAATCCAACTTCTCAGGTTAATGAAATGGCATAAATAAATATGTTACCTGTACTATTTGCCTGAATTTTAGGTTCTGAAAAAGTACAATTCCATCATTCTAGCTATCTCCCCTATGAGGAATTAAGTATTCTAAAACCTCTATCTTAGGGGGTTGGAGAGATAGCTCAGCAATTAAGAGCACTGGCTGCTCTTGTAGAGGACCTGGGTTGGGTTCCCAGCACCTACATGGTGGCAAACACCTGCTTGTACCTCCAGTTCCAGTGGATGTGATGCCCTCTTCTGACCTCCAAGGGCTATGATACCCTGAGAGAAAAGCCACACAGTTTCAGGTTGAATTAAGAGTTCTTTATTAGCTGGCTATCAAGAGGGGGCTAATGCCCAAAAGAACTCTTGACCCTGAGGGGAGGCAGAGTGGGCTTTATAAAGCCTAAACCACAATTACATCATGCCAGGGGCAGAGTCAAGAACCATAGTTATATCAGATCACCATAGTTACACCAGACCAGGAGCAGCTCAGTTAACAAAGAGGTTTTCTGTTAACAAAAAGTTTCAGTTAGGAAAACAAGTTTCTCAGAATTGCAGAGAAAATGGGCTCCATGAAGATGCAGGTATAGCTGGGTGGGAGAGCCTGTTACCTGGCTAGCTGTAAGTTTCTCAGTATTACAGAAACAATGTGCCCCCTGAAGCTTTAGGTGCAGCCTGCATGGGATGTTCTGGCTGACTGGCTGCAGAGTGCAGTTTGGCTAGGCAAAAACACTGGGTAAAGCAAAAGTCAGCTAGAACAAAATGGAATTAGTTTTGCCATTTCAGGGCACTGTGCACACATGGTGTACTTACATACACACAAACAAAACATTCATACACACAAAATAAATATATTAAAAAATATATTTTCTTAGAAAACAGGAATTGGGACTGGAGAGATGGTTTAATGGCTAAGAGCACTGGCAGTTCTTGTAGAGGACAAGGGTCTGGTTCCCAGCGCCTACATGGCAGCTAACAACTGCCTATAAATCCAGTTCCAGGGGATCTGGTGCCCTCTTCTGATCTTTGTGGACACTACATGCACAGGTGCACTACATACCTGCACACAAAACACTCATATACATACAATAAAAATAAATTAATTTAAAAGCAAAAAAGAAAACAGCCGGGCATGGTTGGCTCATGCCTTTAATCCCAGCATTCAGGAGGCAGAGGCAGGTGGATCTCTGTGAGATGGACGTCTGCCTGGTTTACATAGTGAGTTCCAGGTCAGCTGGGGCTACAGAGAGACCCTGTCTCAAAAGACAAAAATATAAGTAAATAATAAATAAATAAATAAATAAATAAAGGACTTTGTTAGCATTATATGATTTAATAAAAATTCAGGTTATTTTTATATAAGATGTTGCCATAAACAATGTCTTTAGTAAATATATTAACTGACTAATCATACTATTTATTTCTACATTGCTGAATATGGCTTGAATGAGCCACCCAAGGCTTATCTGTTGGAATTTAATCCCCTTTTTGATGTATTAAAAGTGTGGATCTGGACCCAGTGGCATGTGCCTATGGTCCTAGCTACCCAAGAAACTGAGGCAGAAGGATCACTTGAACCCAGGAGTGGATGTCAATCTTGGCAACAGTAAGACCCTGTATCTTTGAAAAGAAAAAAGGAAAGAAAAGGGAAGAAGGTAAAAATTGGACTGAGGCTAGATAAGGCTGTGAGGATAAGAATCCATGTTTGACAGTGATTATATAAGAAAGAGACCAGAGGATATGGATATACATAAATATACCTTGTTTCTTGCCATGTGATTCTCTAACCTGTTTTGGGATTCTGCTATCAAGAAGGCCAACATCAGACATGGCCCTTTTATTTTGGGCCTTCAGAATTGTAAGTCAAGCCTTGTTTCTTTATAAAGTATACTGAGCATCATGCCATGTGCCTTTAATTCCAGTTACTTAGAAAGGTGATACAAGAGAATTACAAGTTCAAGGTCAGGCTCAGCTACATAGCAGGATCCTTTCATGAAAGAATGAAGAGGCTCAGGTATTTCATTATAGTAACAAAAAACTAACACATCTGTCTTCTGGCTAACAGACCTAATCTTGTTATACATGTAAAGGTTTGAGTTGGACAAAATATCAAGTCTTTCTCAATCCTGTGAGCCTGTTTCCACCCCTGTCTGCTCTTCCTCTACTTTTCAGTAACACTAGCTTTATTTATTCCTGAGATAGAGGATACTGATGTAAAATGGTCCGTGGGGACACAGAGTCACAACCCACTCAACCACAATGTCACTGAGGGGAGAAGCACAGCTTTTTCAATCACAGTGTCACTGAGGGGAGCATAGCCCACTCAACCACCATGTCACTGAGGGGAGGAGCACAACCTACTTGACCACAGTGTCACTGAGGGGAGCATAGTCTACTTAACCACAAAGTGACTTTTCGTATTATTCCTCTCTCAGGAACCCTTTGAACAGATTACTGAAATCTCCCAATATGGGCTCCAATCACACTGCAATCCAGACTTGGAAGCCTCTCAATGCACAATGAGATCTTACCACTTTCTGAGAATAACATGGGAGAGTGTTGGAGTCATCTGGGATGGCAACACACTCAACAGTAATTTAGCAGCCTGCAAAACTCAAGTCTGTGGCACTAGAGGGGACTATCTCTGCTTCACAGTATCATCCCTATCATAATGGAGGCTCAAACATTCCCCTGGAAGGACTTCACCTTTCACTGCTCCATAAATGCTCCTGAGACAAGACTGGGCACATAAATGAGTGATGAACAGGTGAGCACAAGTGAGAGGAAAGAAGAGCAAAGCACGCCCTCACCTGGTAAGCATCAACCTTCACGGTGATGAGTGTAACCAGCAGTAGGTTTAGCAACAGGGCTGTCTTAGGAAGGAAGTCTCGAGATAAAAAGAACGATTGTGGACCTGCAGGCCTCTCTCTCCAGGGAGCACTCTACTTCCTTGGGCCTGCACAATCCACCAGCCTCTTTACTTGACGCTGGGGCTGACCTTTCCTCTTCCTGATCCTTTGCATCCAGACCAACCCAGCTCCTCAGTGCAGTCCCCAGGAGCCCTTAGGGCTATTTCCTGCCCCCATCTTCCTTTGCATCTCTGGGTGGGATGGCCACCAGCTGCCCTAGGCTAGCATCTTTCCTGGGCCCGGCTCCCAGGCCAGTCCAACACCCAAATTCCTGAGGCCAAAATTTTTCCTGGAGGGATCCAGACCTTAGGAGAAAGCCTGAGCCTTAGGAGAAAGCATCTGATCCTCATTTGACTTGGGCCTCTGTGGGAACTCCTGAAGACAAAAGCAATCTGGCCACTCCAATATAAAATCAAGAGAGAGAACCAGAAGCT